CGAGCGTGCATTTTCGAGAAAATTCTTGATTCCAAGCCCACCAGTTTTTCATAAGTGTATCATAACGTGAATAATCTGAAGGTCAGCTTCCGTCGTATGTAAAATTAGGCAGTGTATCTGTGTATGGTCTTCTGTTTGTCTTGCGCGAGGTCAAAAAATCTTCCGGATGAGCGATTTTATTTTGTATACTCGCATAGCGCTACTTCAATGTCCTGATAATTGGATTCTACTTGTCCAAACCTCTAAAGCATTTCAGTGCAGTTTTAAAACGCGTGAAAAACTATCTCAGATCTTCATTGAGCGAAAACAAACTGAATGCTCTTGCGTTGCTGACTATAGAGTCAGATTTGTTTCTATCTATCGATTGTGAAGATATTATCCGCGAATTCGCAGCTGAAAAATCAAGACGTAAAGAACTGTGAAAAAGAAGTGTTTGAAAGAGGGTTTTTGTTGAATACCTTATCCATGCTGATGTCGAATTTGTTAATTCCGTTATGTATTTCATTATTAACGAACTATATTGTAATAAAGCACTGACAATAACAATCATATTTGATATATATATATATTTTTTTTTTTTCGTGAAAAAAGGGCGGCAAGTTATGAATTGCCTAGGGGCGGCAAATATTTAAATCCGCCACTGTTTGTAAACATTTCTTTAGTTCGACGTCAAAAAGATGTCAGAAGATATCAAAAATCCTTGGACGCTATTATTCACACATACGAAATAATAGCAATTTATTACTTGCCCGTGTTCTTAAAAGGTCCGTCCTTGACTTTATACATTGAAATAAGCAAAATAAGTGTGATCGTTAAAATTAAGCTTGGAAGCCCTGAATAAGCAAAATAAGCAATTCCAAGCAAAAGCTTAAACTTTTCGGCCCTGCATATTACGTATCCTATGTATTTAAATTTGATTAAATAATGATGTACAATATTCTTTTTTTTTTGTAACGTACATACATACAAACTTTTTAGGCAACTGTAGCGATAAAATGCTAACAGCTACTACGGTTTTACCGATTTCAACAATTCTCAAGTAAAAGCAAAAAACAACGCCTTAGAAACTTTAGATGCACTGAAATTTGTTAATACTTTCACAAAAATCACCGTTTTTAACATTTTCGCTATTAATTCTTTTTATAAATCATATATTTTGCAACTTAACACAATAAAACCGCGTTTCCTGTCGAAAAATTTATTATTGAGAAAATTTACTATTTTACTGTTTATCTTATCCTTCCATTCGGCTTTGTTTACTTTTAATTGAGAAATTTCATCGCCGCTGGGAATTCGAAGTGTTTAGAGTTAAACAATTTTTGCGCTTAAAATTAAGAAAATTATGTCGAGCAAAAATAAAGCTACTCAAAAACGCGAATATGTTGTAGATTTCAGACCTTGTGTGGTAGATGTTCCAAAAAGTGCCAGACTTCCACAAAGTGATAGCAGTCCGATCACTGGTCAGAAGAGAAGGAAAATAATACAGTAGAAACTCTTGAGAGTATGGCGTTAAGGGAAATAGGCAATATAGAAAATGTTGATAGCAACGAAAGTAGATGCCAGTGCAAAGTGGATGATTATTAAAAATGTATGCATGTAAATGTGTTCATGAAAGAACTAGGAGACAAGCACTGGTGGTAGAGTTGAGTAAATAGAATAAAATTGTAGATATCGAAAGGAGTTCCTTTTGTGAAAGAGGTAAAGAGCAATCGAAGTTAGAAAAAAGTTAACCAGACAAAATCTTGGAAGGATAGTGAAAATAATATGAAAAATTATGAAACGAATTTACAAATTGCAAATTGTGAGCTAAGGGGGAGAAAAGAAAAAAGTTTTAGGAAGGCAGAGACGCGATTGAATAAGTATGTTAAGTGGATGCGCCTCCAGGTAAAGTAAGAAAGTTGTGGAGCGTTGATGAGATGAGATGAGCAAGTAGAAGAGTAGAAAAAAGGAACAGTCCAGCGCCTTCGTCTTGGTCTGCAGGCTGTATCGGTGATACAGCCGTTAAATTTTAACGTAGAATACGTGGTATGGTTAAGAGCACATCCAAGTCAAAAACGAAAGCCCACACTGAGAAAAAAAAATCGATAACAAAAGCGATAATAATAGCGATAGCAAATTCGATAAAAATATCGATAAAAAATCGATGAAAATATCGATATCAAAATCGGTAATAATATCGATGAAAAAATCGATAGCAAAATCGATAAAAATATCAAAATCGATAACGAAATCGCTTAAAAAATGTATCAAAAAATCAATTACAAAATTGATAACAAACTCCGTCGCCGAAATATGTACTTACGCACACATACATACTTCTTGTCTCCTTCCCTTACTTCCAACGCATGCACATGTTTGCAAAGCGATGACGAAGTGATTTTGTATGGGAAATCATTTATGCCCATATATTTGAATCAAATAAGCATACATAGAGGATATCAACCAATACTTCCCATATACCAAACGAAAAGAAATCTCTTGAATTTTTAATTAAAGAAAACAAAAACCAAATCATTCGAGCGGTTTTCGAGAATTTTGGCAATAAAAAAAATTGCAAATTTTTTCAACAATTTTTTGCCTTAAAAAGCTCAATATTTGTTGAATTAATATAAAATCTATGCACGATAATATTTCTATTGCTCCACTTTAAAAGTTCAAAATTTACCCCAAAAGAGGGAAATATTTACCGTTATTTCTAGGACACCGAATCGGTTACTTACAGAAATATATCTGTCGATAGGTTTGGTATTTTATCTTTGAAATACCACAACTTTCTTTGAAATCGCTTCATTAGTTCTCGTGCAATAAGCGTTTTCGAGAAGCTCTAAAAATTACAACTACAACATTTCAGCATAGCCTCCATATCGTAAGGTAAGACGTATTCTACGTCAAAAATTAAAAAAAAAGAAATTAGAGAATTAAAAAAAGCTTTGTCTTGTACATCAATTCGAAGAGAATCATTCGATTATGTACTAAAACGATTAAATCAAATTTATTGCGGAGGGCTAATCAAATAACGATTTTACTAGAAATAAACTGCTGCCTACTTCAAGGCAAAAAGTCAAAATGTATTCAAATTTATAAAAGATAAATTATATGTATATAAATCTTAAATGAGATTCCAAAGGTCCCATTGTTGTTTATCATTTCATTTGTTGATATACATACACGTATGCAAAAATACATGAGGAATAGGCCAATTTTCTTAACACCGGATGTTTGGATAATATTTTTCCTCTATTTTGAATGATTGCATTGGAACCAAAATACGATTTTACGAATAGTACTCTAAATGTGGTTTAGGCTCCCACTGTTTGATAATGAATACACTAGTTGTTTATGAATCCTATGATAGCTGAAAGCTTAATTTTGAAGTCTACCTGTAATTACATCGTTCATGCCATTAAAGTTTACGTGCGGCCATCGAAAATGTTAAAATGTTTGGCCGGTCGTAACTCAGTTGGGAAAAAATTTCATATAGTCTCGCACAATGGGCCAGAAGACTTAAAAAGTGGCCAAAAACCAATGTTATTTAAAAGCGTAAAACAATAAACTTATTTAACCCTAGAACCATAACGTCCTTCCATCCTAACTTAAGACCAACTATGCGTAAATTTTACGTAGTGATTACGAGTTATACTTGGCCAAATATTTTTTATTCTGAAATAAAAGTCCTTTCCGGATAATAAACAAACCGCTTATCCAAATAAACAAGTTTGGTATCAAATGAAATCGATTTAAACAGCTTTAAAACTGAAATGTCTAAACGAGGAAAGCCACCAATTGAAAAATATTTCAATACAAATTTTAATTAATCACCATAGAACAAAACCTTGGGTCAGGTATATGAATTTCTTTAGTATTAAGTTATCAAAAAAAAAAATATAAATAGAGGTGGTAACCTTCGATAGTTATTTCTGTTTCAAAGCTATTTCAGTCCTCTTTCATACACGGAGAGAAAAATCAACCAAAAATTGGTTAATATTACCAAATTCAAACTTGAAACATTTAATATTTAATACCTTGGTTGATATTTTCAACAATGATTTGGTAATATTAACCACAATTTAGTTTACATTACCCAAACTATTGGTTGACAATTTTTCGTTTGAATAAGTTTATGCTCTGCACTACACAGAGGCTTTTTCGTAATTAAGAAAAACCATAAAAAAACTCAGCCCCTGTCGGAAATTTAAAATGTCATCCCAAACAATTTTGCAGAATTTTGTGCTTTGGCTATTTATTCCAGGTCCTGCATTCTATAAAATAGGAAAGTAGGACAGTGGTTTAAACTTTTTCTATTCCCCATAAATTTTATTCCTAGTTTTTCATTTCTTTTTAACGTTTTAAGTTAACGTACTTCTTTTGCATATTGTTGTGGATATAGTACTCAAGAATTTACTCTCAATAATTTCACACATTCAAACACCTAATCTTTTTATCAAAAAAATATCGATGGTTTTCTAGTACAATAAAGCGTCAATTCGGTCTTTCATTTGTACAAAAGAGGGAAGGGACTTTGACCAAATATTGAAATGGCTCCCAAAAGTTCCATTAAAAAACTAAATTAGCTCAGTTGCAGTTATTTAAAATTGTGTACAATTTTGCTAATAACGTATGTATTTTGTTGTGAAACATTGGGCCGTATGCATAGAAGCTAAGCTATTGCTTTTTCTTAAAATTCCATACCTTTCACTTAAATTTAGTTGAACAAATTGAGTAAAAGGTCTGAAATTTTAAGTAAAAGCATTTGTTTAGTTTTTATGCATACGACCCATTATCTGAAAAATCGTATTTAAATCAATGAATCGATGTATTGAAATATATCGATGTACATTTCGATGCATTGAAAAAAGAAATAGATCGATGTATTTTTGCTACTGACATATCTAGCTTCAATGTTTTTGTTGTTTGTAAGTTTTATATGCATATACTTTATTTATTTACATATGCAATGTATAGTTTCTTATAAATATGTATACATATATTCATATTTTAAAGGTATCTAAGCACACTCCACTTTACAAAAATACTTATATTTACAATAGGCGTTTTCATTTAATCGCGTAAATGCCTCGTAACCATGTAAGTCAGGTTTTTACGAAGGTTACGCATTTACGAGGCATTTGCGCATTCAGATAAATACTCATAATATTTATTTCTACGGAAGTTTTTTGGATCCCAAAAATGTTAAAGCTACAAAGGTAGAAAATCCATGACAGTAAAACTATTCAGATTACATCACAAATATACTTACTTACATAAATATTAGATACTTACGCACATACATATGTACATATATCGTTCCCTGGATAAAATATTGTCGCATGCTACTTTCGGAGATATACATACATACATAACAGCATCTGTAACTAAAAATCTTATAAATGGCGCTTGCGATAATTTTCGATCCAGGCGACGATATGTGTTGTTTAGGGCCAATTTTTTCAGTGTCGTTTAAACTAAGTTTAAATTCAGTGTGGAGTTTTTCAGTCAAATTTAAACCTACTTTAAACTTTAAATTTAAACGCCCAATCTGGCTGGGTTAAACCGAGTTTAAACTATCCGCTGTTAAGGGCCTGTTTTTCCTTGCGCGGCCGTAGTTTAAACCCAGTTTAAGCCCCCGAGCTGGCTGGTTTAAACTAAGATTAGCCAATGAAATGTCAGCCAGCTGTTCAATTTAAACTCAGTTTACTTAATCTAAGTTTAAACTGGCACTGAAAAACTGGCCGTAAGTTGTATATTTATAGTCAGCTGCAAAATTTAGATGAAAAAGGAGGAAAAAAAATTAAAATTGTTTGTGAAATACACGAAAACAGACTCGCTTAGTGCCAAGTTCACAGTAGTCAACTCAATATCGGCAGTTAACTACGCACTGTGAATTTGGCCCTTATATAGCAATACATACATAAATAAGCGAAATGTTGTTGTTGTAAGATGAAAAGTGTTCACAAGAAAATTAACAAACGCAACTTGATTTAGAGTTTACTTGCATAGGGCAATTTGGTCGAACAACACATGAATCACCTAACAAATTCTTTACATTTCCGTCTAAAATCAGAACTTTCAACGCGATCATATCAAAAGTTAAAATAAATAGCTGAAGTTTTGCATCTGCATAAGGAAAAAAAGTGTTGCCCTATATAACAACTAAACTAGGAAGAGGCCTTAAACTCGCACTGAAAAACTGGTCAGTAGTTTAAACTTTGTTTAAATTTAAACTGAGTTTGACTAAATTTAGTTTAAACTGAGTTTAAACCAGCACTAATAAACTGTGCCTTAATTAATTAAGATGCAAGTTACAAATTAAAAAAAAAAACTGCCCTCGCCTCAATTAAAACGGTCGTAGTGTACTCATTAGCGGCTGTTGCGCAGGAGGAAATGGCAAAAGCGGCTGCTGTGCGACAGCATTGTGACCACCGGATGTGGTACCGCTAGGTAGCGTGACAGCGCCACTAACGGACACTGCGGATAACATACGCATACCAGCCGACAGGGCCGTTGGCAAATTAGGAATGTGTGGCGATGCCGTTGTGCTGGCCACCGCCGCAGCTGCCGCAGACAGGGCTGCCGCAGCCGTCACGGCATTTGTGCTAGTTCCAGAAACGATTGGCGAAGTTGGTATGTTGAGGCGCGACACAATTGGTGTTAATGACGCCGCAGTTGTGGAGGGCAGTGTCATAGCGGATGATGGTACCGCGTTTGATGCGCTGCTCGCTATCGACCCAACCGGATAGGATAATTGCAGCGGACGATATTGGCATTTCTTGGCATGCGTGCGCATGTTGCTGGACTGAGTGAAGGCCTGATTACAGTTTGGATGCGGGCAGACGTACGGCTTGCAGCCGGTGTGGTAGTTGAGATGCGTTTTGAGGTGATGCTTCTTGGTGAATGCCTTGGGACAAATGGGACAGTTGAATGGTTTGATACCTGAAGAGATTGAATGATATTTTACAGTACATAATAAAGTTGAATTAAAGAAAATAAACTCGCACTCTCCGCCAACTCACCTGAGTGTAGTCTGTGATGCAGCGTCATGTTGCTTCGATCTGCGAAAGATTTGCCGCACACGGAGCACTGGTAGGGTTTCTCGCCGCTGTGGGTACGCATGTGTTGTTTCAGTAGCATTTTCCGTGAGAAACGTTTGCCACATTCGGCGCACTTGTGTGGTTTAACCCCGGTGTGTATGCGAACGTGCATGTTAAATGCCACGCGCTGGTTGAACGACTTGGGGCAATATGGACATTCGTACTCTTTTTTGTTGCGATGGATCTTCATGTGGCTGCTGAGGTAGCCTTTGTCGTTGAATGTTTTGCCGCATTCCGGGCATTCAGCGGCGAATTCTTTGGTGCCGCGATGCACGGATAGATGATATTTGTAATTTCGTAACTGGGAGAAGCCTTTACCGCAATCGGTGCATTCGTAGCGTGGCGATTTGTGAGTCTTCTCGTGAGCCTGAAAGAGGAGGTAAGTGTAAATTACAAATGATGAATAATAAAGACCGTTTTTTGTTTTTAAATATTACAATGTATGTATGCACATTAGGCTGCCGATCGGGAATTTATTTTTGAAATCTCAAGGCTCTAACTTCCTTTCTGTTTGTGAGAAATAGTATTGTCTATTTTTTTAGTGGCATCGCCCACTTATATCATATATGCGTTTTCATATCGGATACCAAATTTGGAGCCACACTTTCGATTCGCTTATATTTTTTTTTTTGATGGATTCTATACATGAAATAAGCTAACACATACTCGAGGAAATTTTGTTAAAATTTTTTTACTTCGTAGATATGACCTGTCAAAGTTTAACACCCCTATTCTGCAACTCTTTCGTATTCGGATTTTGCTCCGAATCGTAGAAATAGTATGCTGCAATCCGAATCGTATTTTCGAACTTTCAAAATTTGTAACAATGGTATGCCTAGAAACGAACGAGTAAGCTTTTTGCGTAATTTTGTACGAAAACAATTCTGTGTCGGAGGCGAAATAAAAGATGTAAATCGATGTGTGTTTAAAAGAAATATTGGTGGTGTTCATTTAAACAGATAAATTTGCCTTTCGCATATACGTATATTTTTATCCACTGCTTTATATAAACGAAACTATATACAAAATTTTTGCCCCTTATCGAGAAACTTAGGTCCGTTTTAGTTATTTGTACAATGATTTTCGGTTATTGTGTCCAAACGCATAACCCGAATCCAAAAACACGTGTAATCAAAGGATTCACATTTTATTTAAGATAAATAGCTTATTAATAAACTCGGTTTGCACTATGTACTTTTTTGCAAATTTCGACGTGGGTTCTGGGCAAAAATACTGTGGACGGCGTAGCCGGAGTGATATGCACAAGAAATGTTGTATACCTTTGACTTGCGGAAGCCCCTCTTCCCGGCAACGCAGAAAGGATAATTCTACTTAGTAGGGTTATAATTCCTAAGCGCGGCCGAAGGCAGAAGCAAGCCTTTGTGGTGGACCTAACAAAGTGCATGTTTTCAATGGCTTGGAAGAAGCTGTTATTGCATTAACTGGATTGAGAACCAGAGCTTCAGGCATAGGAGGAGTTCTGGCTTGTGGTTCAACAATTCAACCAGAAGCTGACATAGATGCGCCCATGGTGACTATGCCCGACAGCTCCGCATACCTTTGTGAATCCATTCCCATAGCGCCCTCTTACTCTGCTGCTATAATTGCAAATGCATCAGAACCCATAATTTTCCTCAAAATATGTAAAATTAACCAATTTTACAATAAACAAACACATGATGAGTGTTTTTTTTATTTCTTTTCCACTTTGTTTTCCTTCATTCAGCTATCTTCGAAAAACAACTGATTGCTGGCAATGCTGCACATGTGTCCGCAAGGGTTGCAGAATGTGGATTTTTCGTAGCGTAGCTCCGAATTACGAATTACGAAAATTCGGGTTCTACAATAAGGGGGTAAATTTTTTCGTGATTCTGAGAAATAATGTACTTCTTAAAACCGTTATATCTAGGGTTCTGCTTATCGTAGAGACTTCATCTTAACGTCGTTTTAAAGCTAAAGAAACGGGCTTAACATTATATATAACATGGTCGTGATTGTCCTAAAGATGACTTAGCTATTAACAGTTCAACTTTTTGCAGTTGATTTGCGTAGCGAAGGACAGCAAATTAGGGATTTAAAATTACACCATCGTAATCCTTTTTTATTTCTTTACAAAAAACAATGTTAAGATAATTTGGTCAGTAGTGTTTTTGTTTAAAATATTTTTTTATAAAAAAAAATAGTTTTTCCTTTTAAATGTTTTTTCTTAAAAATTTTACATTCGAAGTATACAAATATGCATATCAGAAGAAAGGGGTTTAATCGCTTTTATAACGATACTATTTTTTTAAATCAGTTCAAAATTGTTTGAAATATAACGTTTTTAACTTTACGAAGACCCGACCTTTGACCCCTTATAGCACCTGTAAATAAGTTTGCACAAAAAAAGTTGGATACAATTTAAATAAGAGCAAAAGGCGGACTAAGTCTATATTTTTAGTTTTTTAATTATTTACATATAATAATAAAAAATAATTTTTTACCAAAGGTCCCATTTCGAACTTCGAAGGCCCATATCTCGATCTCGGAGTCTAACTTCGAAAAACGGAGAAATTACTTTTTTACGTATGACTCAATCTCTTAAAAAAAAAAAATATGGCTTGGTCCAATACCCAGCCGAGTGCTGTACAGTACAGTGATTCCAGTATCTACATTTATGTATATTGTACCTATCAACATCTTATAAAAAGAAGTGTAAAATTTTTTTTTATCAAAAACTAATGAAGTTAGAAGGACGAAATTCGAGGATGTGGTAGTTTACATATTAGTCCTTGATATATATTTTTTTCAAAAATAAATGTTGGAAATTTCCAAGGATATGCAAGAATAAAATTTTAAAAGGACATTTTCAACAATTATTCGTCCTGGTGCATCAAAAATTTGAATTTTTTTCAATTCTAATTTTTCTTTAGATTGCTACCCATGTTGTTACTCTACAATGCACCAAACTTTTTAAATATTTTTTTATTCAACCATAGACTAGAAATTTCAAAGTCCTTTAAAAAGAAATCCTGACGTCAGAGAGAAAAATAAAAAACGCAGTTATACTATATTTGGCTCCTAGTTTTGTGAATATATTGATTTTTACGTGTGTTTTAAAAATTGTTGGTGTTTGTCGCACGGTGTAATATGGTGTTTGGGTTTTCACAAGATTGGCAATTTTGCTGGATTTTGCATACATTCGACTTATGTGCTTATTTTGCATACTTGACAACATTTAATACATTTGGGGGGAAAAAACGATAGATGCGTGAAACAACGTGAATTAATACATACTAGAGGGCCAGTTCTAGTTTTAGAAGCCTTGGAGAGGATTTCTAACTTAACACGCAGCAAAACTTATACGGTACAAATTAACTAAACGAAAAATCTTCTCCTAAAACGTAACTAAATTTTTTTTTTATCTGAGAAGGTCTTTGGAGGACTTCGGCAGGACTTGGAATTGACCCGATACATTCAAGTTTATCGATAAATTTCAATGATTTGATACATATCGATAGTTCGATGAATTTCAAGAACACTAAAATTCGATAACTCAACAAAATTCGTTAACTCGACTAATTTCGATAACTGTGAAATTCGATGGCTCGATAAATTTAGATAACTCAAAAATGTAAAAACTTTGGATACCTTTATAAATTTTTACTTTTGACATCTCCACATTTTTCGAAAACTATCTAAACATGTTGATAACTCGTTACACTCTGTTAAGACGATTAAATGCGATAAGCAGTGATAAATCGATAAACTTATATAACCTTGAAATTTCGATAAATCGATATATTTCGAAAATTCCATAAACTTCGCCTCGTTGAACCAACCAATTTCAGTAGATCAATAATTATCGATAACTCTGTAAGTTGAAAGAACTCCATGCATTATGACACCTCGATATATTTCGTTAAGTCTATAAATAATGATAATTCAATAAATATCGATAACTTGATACATTTCTTTAACTTGACAAATTTCGTTAATCCCACACGTTTTCATAGCTCGATAACTAACCGTAAATTTGGACAACTAAGTTTCTGTGTCTATAAATTTCGACAACTCAGTAAAAATTGATCAGTTTGAATAATTCGATACGTTGCGATAACTAATTTCGATGATTCGATAAATTTCAGTAAGCTTTATGGCTGATTTTATTTCGATTCCTATCGGAAAATTTCAGCTCTGTTAACCTAATTCTTATGTATTTCTCATTGTATCCATTTTCGCCTTTATCTCAATTTTCGTCTTTATCTTCACTTTTGCCTTTTTTTGTCTTCATCGGGGAATAGCTAAGCTTTCTGCAATTCCTAAATTATTTGAAGCAATTATAACAAATCAGTTGATGCATTCTATCTCTTCTAGCATTTCATATAGTCAACATGGATTTTGCAAGGGCAAATCAACTTCTACAAATTTACTCGAATTAACATCCTATATCTCAAAAGCATTTAGTGAAAGCAAAACTGTTGATGTTATATATACTGACTTCAGTAAAGCATTTGACAAAGTGTGCCACTCGTTGCTTATCTACAAACTTGATATTCTTGGTCTTCCACCTAATTTTCTACGTTGGATCTCTTCATACCTCTGTGATAGATCACAAAAGGTAATGTTTAAAAATACTATCTCTGACGTCATTGATGTTACTTCAGGAGTCCCTCAAGGTAGCCACCTAGGCCCGGTTCTGTTCTTGCTTTTTATAAACGATATTTCTACAAATATACAATTTTCCAAAATTTTAATGTATGCAGATGATGTAAAGCTTTATAAATCGTACGCTTCAATTGAAGAAAGGTCTTTTCTACAATCAGACTTAGACAGCATGGCTTACTGGTGTCAAGTAAATCTTATGCCTCTAAATCTTAAGAAATGTAAAGTAATGAGCTTCTCGCGAAGAGCTGTTCATCCCACTTCTTATACAATAGGTAGCCATAACCTGGAACAGGTATACAATTTTGTGGACCTTGGTATCACAATGGATCCTAAGCTTAATTTTAATCTTCATATTAATGTGAAAGTCAACAAGGCTAAAGGTGTACTTGCATTTGTGAAACGATGGTCAAAAGAATTTTGAGACCCTTATATCACTAAAACCCTGTTTACAACATTAGTTAGGCCAATTCTGGAATACGGTTCGGTGGTTTGGAATCCAAGGTATCAAATTTACTCAGACAAGATAGAATCAATTCAAAAACAATTTTTTGCTTTAAGAAATTTCCGTTGGGATTCTCAATATAACCTTCCACCTTATACGAGCCGATTAAAACTTATTAATCTTCCTACACTTTCCAGCCGCAGGCAAATGCTTGGTACAATTTTTATAGTTAAATTACTAACAGGCTCAATTTCAAGTCCGCTTCTTCTTGGCGAAGT